TGAGGAAGGGGTAGTGGGGGTGAGGGAGGGAAGGGTGAGTGGGAGTGAGGGAAGGGGTAGTGGGGGGAGGAGGTGAGGGAAGGGTAGTGGGGAGATAGGGAAGGGAGTGTGGGGTGAGGGAAGGGGTAGTGGGGGAGGTGAGGGAAGGGGTAGTGGGGAGGTGGGGAGGAAGGGGTGAGTGGGGGGAGGTGGGGGGAAGGGGTAGTGGGGGTGAGGGAAGGGGTGAGTGGGGAGATGAGGGAAGGGGTGAGTGGGGGTGAGGGAAGGGGTAGTGGGGGAGGTGGGGAAGGGGTAGTGGGGGAGGTGAGGGAAGGGGTAGTGGGGAGGTGAGGGAAGGGGTAGTGGGGGGTGAGGGAAGGGGTAGTGGGGAGATGAGGGAAGGGGTAGGGGGGAGGTGAGGGAAGGGGAGAGGGAGGTGGGGAAGGGGTGAGTGGGGGAGGTGAGGGAAGGGGAGTGGGGAGATGAGGGAAAGGGGGTAGTGGGAGGTGAGAGAGTGGGGGAGGGTGAGGGAAGGGGTGAGTGGGGGTGAGGAAGGGGGAGAGGGAGGTGAGGGAAGGGGTAGTGGGGGAGGTGAGGGAAGGGGTAGTGGGAGATGAGGAAGGGGGTAGTGGGGAGGTGAGGGGTAGTGGGGGAGGTGGGGAAGGGGTAGTGGGGAGGTGAGGAAAGGATAGTGGGAGGTGAGGGAAGGGTAGTGGGAGGTGAGGGAAGGGAGTGGGGAGAGAGGAGAAAGGGGTAATGGGAGGTGAGGAAAGGGGTAGTGGGGAGAATGAGGTAGGGGTGGTGGGGGAGATGAGGGAAGGGAATGGGGGATAGAGGGAAGGTGGGAGGTGAGGGGGAGGTGAGGGAAGGTAGGGGAGGTGAGATGAAGAAGGTAGTGGGGAGGTGGAGGGAAGGTAATTATTGCGTCTAATACCACCAAAATCGCCATCGAAAAAAATAAAACCAAAATCACCGCACGCAGTAAGTGTCCATCAGTCAGATCAGGAAGACAATGAGCTGAATTAACGCCACGAAAATTCTACAGATTACCATACTAACACCACCACCGCCAGAGGTAAACACAGACGACCTCCACCGTCGCCAGGCCCCTGCTGACCACTGCTCTGAGAACGAGTTTTGCAAGGTCGTCCTGGCCCGCCACCAGCCACCATTATCCTGTGAGCACCCTCCCCACCTGTGTGCCTCTACCTCAACCCCTCCCAGGCCTCAACCTCCCAGTCCTCAACCCTCCCAGGCCTCCCTCAACCCCAGGCCTCAATCTCTCAGTTCTCCTCAAACTGACCCCGTGGCTCTATGTCCAATTTTCTTAACTCTTCCACCTCTCGGTTTTACATGGTTTCTTCCCATTCAATCACTTCATCTCCCCACCCCACTCCTCCTGCACTGAAAATGGTTTACATAACCCGTATTAGGTAAGCTAGTTGCAGGGTTTGCGCGGCACGTGTGTGTTTATTTATTTTGTATTTGTTTATATATGTGTTTCTTTATGTGTTTGTGTGTTTATATTATACGTTATGTATTTGTGTTTGTTTGTTTATCTGAATGTGTGTGTGTGTGTATTTTGTGCGTGTGTATGTGAATGAATATGTTTGTGCATGTTTATTTGTGTGTGTTTGTAACAGCCAATAAGCACACACACACACACACACACACACACACACACACACACACACACACACACACACACACACACACTCACTCACTTCAGCCATCACTTTACCTAACACATCCCAAACCAACCTACCCTAAACCTAACCTAACCACATTCGTTCTAGCCACTTACACGTTCTGTCTCAGTGTGTGTGTGTGTGTGTGTGTCTATGGTGACTGACTGACTGTGTTGCAAGGCGTTAGGTCTCTGTCATCTCACGAATTGACACGTTAGGTTGCATGTGTTAGATAGTAGTAGTAGTAGTAGTAGTAGTAGTAGTAGTAGTAGTAGTAGTAGTAGTAGCAGCCACAAGCAGGAAAAGGTGTTGCTGTCAGGTGAGGTGTGATGGAGGGCAAATGGAAAAAAAAAGTCCACAGGGAAAAAAAGTCATATTTGATTTAGATACCATAAACAAGTTAGGTTAGGATAGGTTAGGTTAGGTTAGGTTAGGTTTTGAGTTTTCTTTGGTTATTAACTGAACATTCGGAAAGTAAAATTTTTCGACCTATTCAAAAATGAAAACCTAACTAAACTGTGACTTTTTATCCGATTATTTTTCTGTGACCTTTTTCTGTGAATTTTTTCCTGTGACTTTTTTCCTGTGACTTTTTTCTGTGACTTTTTTTGTGACTTTTTTTCTGTGACTTTTTTCCTGTGACTTTTTCCTGTGACTTTTTCCCTGTGACTTTTTTCCTACATTCGTGACCTAGCAGTAGTGGTTGAGGTCCTGGTCACTGAAACTCTGTTAAGTAACGTGAGTGACCAGAGAGTGAGCGAGTGTTTCCCACGGGTATTTTTCTCGGCCCTCAGGTGTATACAGGTGTGCTTCCTTGACCTTCAGGTGTATACAGGTGTGTTTCCTCGGCCTTCAGGTGTATATAGGTGTGCTTTCTTGGCCTTCAGGTGTATACAGGTGTGCTTCCTCGGCCCTCAGGTGTATACAGGTGTGCTTACTCGGCCCTCAGATGTATGCAGGTGTGCTTCCTCGGCCCTCAGGTGTATACAGGTGTGCTTCACTTGGCCTCAGGTGTATACAGGTGTGCTCGGCCTCCAGGTATGGCAGGTGTGCTTCCTCAGCCCCTCAGGTGTATACAGATGTGCCCTCGCCCTCAGGTGTATACAGTGTGTCTTCCTCGGCCTCAGGTGTATACAGGTGTGCTTCCTTAGCCCTCAGGTGTATATAGATTGTGCTTCCTCAGCCCTCAGGTGTATACAGGTGTGCTTACTCGGCCCTCAGGTGTATGCAGGTGTGCTTCCTCGGCCCTCAGGTGTATACAGGTGTGCTTACTCGGCCCTCAGGTGTATACAGGTGTGCTTCCTTGGCCCCCAGGTGTATACAGGTGTGCTTCCTCGGCCCTCAGGTGTATACAGGTGTGCTTCCTCGGCCCTCAAGTGTATACAGGTGTGCTTCCTCGGCCCTCAGGTGTATACAGGTGTGCTTCCTCGGCCCTCAAGTGCCAGGGCGCCTAACACCATCACTCAAGGGTGGGGAGGTCGCTAAGCCATCAAGGACCAATGATTCGGACGAAGAGATAATCTTCAGTTTAATTTAAACGTGATATAGTGAAGGATTATCTCACGGTCTGGTGTTTGTTAATCCTTTCACCATACAAACTAACTTATTTAACTTTTTTATTCACTCGGTATTAAAGCCCCTCGCCCATCGAGCTACTACTTGACCTCTCCTACTCCAATTTTCTCCACTCTTGGTGTTATCGATACGCCGCTGAGTTGGACATGAGTGCAGTCGGCGTCAATTACCTCCCCCGCAGCAGTTGGCTGATGACCACACGTCACCCTTGACCTTCTCAACTGGAGGAGGACTCATACACTCAGCCATAAAACTAACAGCTCAGACGACCCCTTGGTACAGCAGCCTCACACTTCCCCAGCCAGACGATCCACCTGGAGTACTTGTGCCCCAGACTGTGATGTCTTCGTCGGGTAAGTTCTTCCTTCCTCTCGTGGCTGGTGGTGGAGGCCCTTGTGATCCTCGGTCGGTGGCCTGGTTGGGAGGCTCCTGGTTACGGGGGTTTCGGCACTACCTTTGGTTTATTGTTTCGCACTTGGGAGTTATGGGCGGGGACAATATACGTAAACATGGGAGCTGTTATGGGGATCGGGTGACCGCCTCTCATGCTTAAGACGCCCGCCGGTTTATGACTCGACCGGGAAGTGGAAGAAGGTTTACGCAACGCCCGTGTGCTCGTGTTTAGTCACACTTTGTGGTGCTCATAACTTAAGATGTTTAGATCAGGTATACCAATATTTATATTATATAATTTCTAGACCGTATAAGGGGGTTCTAATCGAAATATGAAAGACTGTGGTGGATGAGGAGGGTTAATAGAACATGGAGCTGTGATGTCGAGAAACTAGCAAGCAGTCATTAATATTATAGTTGTCCTTAAATTATCATCCTCAAAATGTTATAATAAATCTTCGGCAGGGGGTTGAATCATCGTCCTCAAAGGGCTGAAGTAATAAAAAATCGCTTGTTTTCTTCTATTGCTTTATTGTTCATTTACACACAAAAAAAATCAACGAAAGTTACTGGAATCCCGCCTCCTCCTACCAAGTTCGCTGTATATTCATCTCGCGCTTCAATAAGTTCACAGTATTAACTCTGACCAGAAAATCCCTGGAAGATTCGGGGATGTTAGGGAACCTGTAGGAGGACGTACCGGGACACGCCAGGGAAGGTAGACTGTGCCTTTTTCAGCACAAAATTCATATCCTTCAAGACTGCTTAAAAAAAATGTTAAATTCTTTACATTTTTTAAACCTATTATTCGTTTAATTCTTCAGATTTTTTAATTATTTGGAAAAAATTTCAAATATGTTAAAACTATTTTGAAATTTATATCCCTGAAAGACTACTTTTCGGGAAGTTACTGAAATACAATATAGGGTGTTTTGAGGGCTGTACATTTGTTGGTCTAAAATTTATATCCCTCAAAAGACTTCCTCAGACATATTTTCGTGGTTTTTATGATTTTTTTTCTTTTTTTTAATAGAGAAATAATCAAACTTTGTGTGTGTGTGTGTGTGTGTGTGTGTAATTTAAAAGGAAATTAAATTTGTTAACCAGGTAATTTTTTTAAATATTCTCAAGTTAATTTTTTTTGTGGGGGGGGGGGAGGGGGGAATTTGACCCCTCAACAGACTTCTTTTGGGGCGCATTTCCCGGAAAATTGTGTTTTGAGGGATGTGCATTTTTCAGCACAAAACTCATACAGAGGGGCATATCCCTCAAAAGATTACTGTACTTTTCTGGTGTTCATGTGTCTGAGACACACAGACACCCAGGGGTCCATGGTCAATAGTAATACCAAGAAGGACAGCTTTAAGACCCATGTAATGTGTGTAAAGTTTCAGGTCTCTAATTGCTTGTTTTGTTCTTGGCAAGAACCAAAAATCTTCACTGACTGAGATATTGCCATGGCGATTAGGGATTGTGGTTACCCATGTCAGGGAGGGCAAACTGTGACTGTCAAGGTTAAGCTGGGATGGGTTGGGTTGGGTGGATATGGGTTACTCATGTCAGAAAAGGCACAGTGTGAGTCAGTGTTATACAGTATCTGTACTGTATATACCTAACCCGAGCAAAGCCGGATAGTTTTGCTAATACAGTACTGTATACACTGTATAATAAAAGTAAATTTGTCTTTCTGTTTGTGAGTGTCTGTTGTAGCCATAGCTAAAAAACAGAAGCAGTTAAACAAGAAGCTTTACACTCATAGTACATGGGTCTCAAGGTTGTGTGGGTATCTGTCTATGAGTGTTTGTTCCAACCATAGCCTTTTCATTCTTTATTGCATATATTCATTAAAATATTAAGTAACTCTCAAAAGCTAGAACATTGGTTTAAACAAATATTGTTTTCAGTTGCTTGATGGTAAAATTGTCCCTGATTTTCCTTTTGTCTAATTCTTTTGTGCATCGAATCTGCATCACTTACCCTAACTTCCATCCCCCCTCCTATAATTTGGTGTCAGTGGCAGTAACCCTTGTCATTTGAGGTCATAACTTCTGTCACCTCACACCTGCAGGGTGTGTAGGGGGGTGGAGGTGGCATCTGGGATTGCCTCCCCTTACTTTCCACCCTCCCCCTATAATCTGGTGTTAATAGCAGTAACCCTTAAATTTTATCATGTGGTCATAAATCCTACCACCTTACATGTACACTGACTGACTCGTGATGGGTTAACTGTTTAATAGAGATAAATTACCAGCACTAATCCTAATGGTGTACACTGATGACAGGCGGCCCATTTAGGTGCTATACCACAAGTCAAAAATGTGCATAAGCTGGTCTTGGTACAAGTTGACACTTGACCTGGTGTGATTCAGTCAAACATGAAGCCAGGTGAGTCTTATGAGAAAGGGGGAATTCAATCAAACACACTAAACCTCCCTTGGATTTGCCACTGTTTATAAACTTAAAGTCAAAATCTTGTGTTTAGCTCTGCATATAATTGAAATTCGCCAGTTCTCTTTGACGAATGTATCAGCCTTGGGAAAAAATGTTGGAATTTGCAATTATATTCTCTACCTTGTTAACCCTTAAATATGCTCTGACAGGAAAGATGAGGGTTTTAAAATACAGTACAGGTAAAAAATAGTGAAAAATTCCCTATGAATACGACAAGTTTTGCTCATTGAAAACAGTGGTGTAATCAGAATCCCAGTATGCCTAATGAGAGCCACAAACAATTGGATGGAAGATACTGTGCATGTAACCAGGTGAAAGGGCAACCAGGTCGTTGCCACATGCTTTGTACCTGTTTTATTATTCATTATTAAATTATCCTATGATCGACCTTTTATGCTGCAAGATTCATAAAAAAAATAGAACTTGTTCAATACAGTAACTGTAATAGTGTAAAAGAAAAAACACAACATATAATTAGTCATTTTACTTGAGAATAAAGGGATAATCTTTCCTCCCTTCTTTCTGTGACATTGTAGGCTAAAGGAAAATTTCCACAAGACAGAAACCAATTATTAGAATAAAATAAAAGTGTATCAAGATGAAAATAATAATAATAATAATAATATATATTTGTTATTATTTTCATTTTATAATGATGGAGACTGAGACTTAATGGGGCTGATCTTACTGGGAATCTAGATTTGAGTCATGACAACACTGTCGGTTCCTTGCAAACACAGGTGTCCTCATAGAGATATATTTCTTTTAATAATCATAAAGAATGAGTTAATTAGCATGGGGCATCAACATGGTAAGGGAAAAACAAACAAAAGTTCCTTCACAGTGGTGTTATATCGTTTTTCCTTGTTAATTTTTCGGTTCACATCATCACCACCACTACTTCAGTTTTCTGCATCATGATCATCTCATTCACATCTTGGTGATGCAATCCTACCCAGAACACATACTGTACAACACATGGAGAAGTAGTTTTACCTCGCTTTCTTAGTTGCTTTCCTCTTGGTCTCTAAGCACTTTACTCTGATGACTAATTCATCAGTGTCACTATTGCTGAAGCTCACACACACAAGCTATCATTTCCAAATTTACTGAGTGAATTTACCAGTTCTGTCAATCTCACCCCTACATGCTGATTCCCAATTTTATTAGTTGTTCTGGGATTTTGTTCGACACATCACTGGAATTGCCAGATACTTCTTCCATGATGAGATAAATTGAATACAGTAGAGTTGCAATACTTCATGAAAATGAAATTCATGTTCTTAACTCCTCCTTGTGTACGGAATCACCTCAGAGCTAAATAAAATCATCCGGAAATAGCCAGATGAAATATTAAAAGAGGTATTCCCCTGTAGTGAAAAGGTTAATAAAGATAATCTACTAGCCCCTTGTGTACAGGGTCACCTCTAAGCTGAATAAAATTGTCTGGCATTAGCCAAATAAAATATTAAAAGTGGCATGTGGGATGTGTTCCAGAGCCTTTTCTGGGTCTCAGCTAACCTCAATTTTGGCATACAGTACAGTATTTCATAAAAATAACACAATATATAATGGTTTTCTTACACTAGAGCTCACAACATACCAGCTTGCATATGGGTGAACTTTTCATGCATGATCTGAGGGCTGATAGAAATAGGGTCGTCACATCCATGAGAATGCATATACAGTACTGTACTGTATATACTGAACCCTCATATATCGAGACCCAATTTTACTATCATCCTCCTATTCATTTTTAAACACTTAAAATTAATATACTGTATATTTTTTATACAAAATTAAATTGCATATACTACAGTACTGTATAGTTTACATAAAGAATTCTTCTCCTTTTATACACTCATTCTCTTCTTTTAAAAAAATTTCCTCTGTGACACAAGCATTTTCTTCTTTTATACACAAGTTTTCTTCACTGATACAAATGTTATTTTTTTCTTTTACAGATTCAGTCTCTCCTGCCTGTAAAAATATGATGTTTTGTGCTGGCAAAAACACATACTCATTCTCTAGGACAAAAACTGTTTCATCATTGTAATCTTTACAGTGGGACTCTTCATGATTTTCACAATCTTTAGTCAAGGAAACATCTTTACTCAATAATTCATCATCTTGTCTTCCCACTGCTGGGGTTTTATTATACAGCCACTGATGTTTAATATGGTTTTCTTCATATTTAACTGAGTAATTGTGGTCAATTTCAAAATCTTGATCCTCAAGTTTATTATCAGATCTGTCACCATCATATGAAACTCTGTCGCTTCTCGAAACACCTTGTTTGGTATATGCAGTTGTCTCATTATCATTGTCTATGGGCATCATTTCTGACACTTTGCTCAGTATTGAGTCTATATTAGCGGAGGAGAACGTGAACTGTCTGGTAATATAAGCACTTATATTATCCTTGAAAGTTACAGAGGGATGTCTTTTAAGAAATGCCTGGAGCCAAGCAATACTAGCTAATTTCATTTTTGTCCACAAGGCACTATGCAAAAGATTAAACTTATATGCAAATTTATAAACTAATCTCCGAAATTCTGTAATTGTAATTCCTGAAAACATTTTATCCGCAATCAGGAAACATTTTACCAGTTCAGCTTCCTGTTGATTAGTGAAGGCCTGTCTTGGTCCAGCTGAGGTGAAACTGGTGGTTTTCTTTTTCCTTTCGCAATGGGACAACCTCAGTGGATTAAGTTTAGAGTCTTTGGTTACGATCTCATTTGATTCTATGTTTTTCAGCACACTCTCTGTTGGTGTAGGTCCAGGGGAGGTATGAGTTATGGTATTATCGTTTTGTTTACAATGGGACAATTTCAAAGGGTTGTGTTCACAGTCTTTGGGTACAGTCTCATATGATTCAGCATTTTTCATCACACTCGCTGTTGGCATTTCCATCAATGCACTGGAGACTATTCCGTTATTATTCTGTAGTATGTCAACATCCTGTGAAGTAATATACAATATATAATTAGATTGGTATGTGTAAATAAAGTGTGTTTGTGTGTATTGAGGATGAATTAGTGGTAAAAAAAAATATCAAGAAAGTTATAAATTGTTAAAGGAGACCAGTGGAAGCAATACAGTGTGTTGAATGTCACCAGAAGGCCTGAAACAACAAGTAGAAACTCACTCTACACACTTTCTTATCCTCAACATTCATAAAAAAATAGTAAGATTCCTTTTCCTTACATTCATTACAATTTTCATATCAAATGTTGCGCCTACGAGGTTGATTTATCAAGCTCACTAATACCAATAACATAGCATGTGAAATTCTTCTTCTGAATATAATTTATGCACAATCTTCCAGTGTTAGCTCTTAATCAGCAACATTTTACAGCCATTTTCCACACTTTTGTGGGTCAGTCATGATTACCTGAATGGCAGCTCTCCATGCTGCATGGTCTCTTTCAGTCTCTCTTGTCAGGTTTCTAACTTTAAATTCCATTTCTTGCAACCTCTCTCCATATCATGCTTGACTTAACCTCTGGGTCTCCTCACCTCCACATTTAGGCTCGTGCAGCTCTTGACCTAAACAATCTCTGCCTGCCTTTATGAAGAACCTCACCAATATTCCCAGTACCCATCCATCTACTCCATTGTACAATACAGTACCTCCTCTTGTGGAAATTATTTTTTATAATCCCGTAATAATCATAAATTATAAATAAAACCTCGTCGCAACCTGCCCGCAAAGCTTAAAAGTGCCTACAGATGTTTGGGTAGTGGTTTTGTGTAAATTTAACATTAAATAGGCTTGTTGTCGGGTAAATCATGGATTTCTTATGATAATTCGTATAATCCATGATCCACGTGTATGAAAAAAATGGTGAGGGTTTATTACTATTATGGATAATTAGTCTGATGAACATAAATGGCCATCAGGTAATTTCACAGGGTGGAGATGAGTTGAATATTTGTCATTTACTTTGAATCTGGTAATTAGTTAATACGTATATATAAACTAATAATAGATTACCATTGTATTTTAACAATCAATAAGAAGTAACACTGAATTAAACGAGTATACATTAGTACTGTACTGTACTCTAATAAGTTGGTTAGGTGTCAAATGGGATTTTTTCTAAGAAAACAGAAAGAGGCTTTGGACAATATTAAAACAGCAGAGGATAACAATTCCTACCAGGCCATAGAGCATTCATTAATCTATGATAGAATACCTCACAAGAGTAAAGAAGCAAATACACCTGTTACCACATGTTTCAGCATAAGGAGAAACAAAACCTGGGCTTTGAGGGAAAAGGTTTGTCAAAGTAGAGGGGCGGAGGATTAGTGAACATACTTCAGCATCAGATGATGCTCCCTTTAAACCCTGGGGAATGTTTGAAAGAGGTGACTCCTTTAGTTCTTTTTTTCTCGCAGCATCATCCTGTTTTCCACCATTTCCATCAATAACTTGGTAGCACCTGAAAGAAACATGACCACATACAGTAGTAAAATAGTCGTCATAATTGGTACATACTGTATACTGTGCTGTACTCAATTTCAACTACTCTACTCCATCTCCAACTTATTTTTAACTCGGACACTCAAAGTTAGATGTAGAAACTGGACGGACAGAAAACTTTAAAGCATAACTTTATTGTGAAAGAGGTTCCTGCCTGTTCCCCATACATTTGCAACAACCCTGATAGCTATTAATTTAGGATTTTCTTTAAGCAAGAATTAATTGTATTAAATAGTCTACACAAAGTGTACAGTATTTATAAACTGGCTCTTTGTTTCATTAAAGGAGGATGTTTGGAGTAACATATTAGAATGCTCATGTAAACTTTACCTGTCTAAGCCTCTTCTAGGTCGTTTACTTTCTGGTGACGATGGTACAGAGGAGGAATGAGCTTTATCCCTACACATCCTTCTAACTGAAAAAAGAAAGTACACTGTAATACAGTACTACTATTACAGTTATACTGTATTAATAGAATCTCCAAAGTTCTTATTGAAAACTGTACTCCATGAAGAATTGAATTATCACCAAAATTACACACGCACACCAACATATCTTAGCCTGAATAAATTTGAGGACAACTAAAATATGGAAATTTGGACAGTATAGTTGTAGCTTAAAAATATATTTGTTACACACAGATGAAAAGTATGAAATTCTAAAAGGCCCATATTCATACTGGTAAATAAGAAATGGCTCAGGTGGGTTATAAAACAATGCTATACAGAAATGGCATAAGCAGTAGAAATCCACCACTTGGTGTAAATAATTTCCAATGTGTAGGATTTTTTTTTAAATCTATACACAGTATACTGTACTGTATAAATTATATAAAATACATTGTTTGTGTGTGTGTGTGTGTGTTCCTTATTCATTTTCACAGTTTAGAAAACAGAGCTGAAATTTGGTAGGGAGGTGCAGGTGGCCTAGGGGATGGTCATGCACTATCTCCTGTCCTACCAATTCCAGGCTGTTGGTAATAAGATGGAGATTCAATAATTCTTTGTAAACCTCTGTTTGTATTGCTGATCTTGTCAAAACATTTTAGCAGCTTATCTCCTTAAATACAGCTTTGCTCACTCATGAGACAAGAAGCAAGGAAAAGCTAAAGTTTGCATCTATTTGAATAACAAGCCAGGGATATTATGATGTTCACTAGTGACAAAAATCCTACTGACAGGGGTGATAGTTGCCATTTACTAAAAGCACTAGTAATACTGTACCGTAGAAATTTCTTCCCAGCGGGCAATGGTTAGTGCATGAAGCATATTGACCCATGAATCTGTTAACAAATCTCCAGTTTATTTTATTTATATACACAGTACTATATATTTTTTCTTTTCATTCCGGTAGTCTTTTTCCTGCTATGGCGCAACTTTTTAGCATTCAGAGGTTAGTAGGTTATCCCAGTTTTTGGCCACCATCAGTAAATACTGTACAGTACACCCAGCAGTGTACAGTGCTGTACTATTTTTTGTCAGTAAAAGTACAGTACAGGTACAAAAGAGTTAGTAAGCACTCCATTCTGGCAGAGAATCAAATGCACACTCATTCACCTGTGATATGAATGCTCTACTAATGAACTACATAACTTACATCATCAAACTAATACTGTACATTACATGTACAGTCGGCCACAAGAATATGTATACACCTACGGTTCGTGTTTGAGACAAAATATCTGGTAACAATGTCCTGAACAGAACAAACAAAATTACAAAATGACCTGTAATTTATGTTTTATTCTTACATATATGTTATAAATACATTTGTTGTGAATGTTTTTCTAGTGTCTTGTGTTTACATTACAAGTACAGTGGGGTATGCTATAACGAATCTAATTGGTTCTAGAACCTTGTTCGTTATAGCATTCGTTCGTTATAGGATTAATCCGTTCCAGGCCCCCAAATACAACCACTTAACACTGAAAAATATAATATAAAATTGTAAAAATTGTAAAAAAGTGCATAAATATGCATCTAAACCCCTGAAATAAAGAATATCATTAATATTTGTAATAAAAAAAAAATAAATTAGAAAAAAAAAAAATAAATAATGTTCGTTGTAGGAGTTTCGTTCGTTATAGCATTCTCAATTTTATAGGTAAAACCGTTCGTTATAGGAATATTCGTAGTAGGATCCGTTCGTTATAGCATACCCCACTGAAATATATTGTATCCAATGGTAGTAAACTTGTTGCTGAATGGGATTGCAGTTATCGTACAGCTCCCTCCTCCTCCCCACTTTTTCTCTTACCCTACTTTTTTTTTACTGACATTTGGATTAGTAAAGGAAGGAAGAGGAGTAAATAGAAGAATAAAGAAGGGGAAACAGAAAATTGTTAGAGATAACAGGTGGGGGGAGCTGAGTTTCATCATGCGTCTGGATGTGCAGTTTTAACGTTACCAGACCATTTTCGGACCTTACAGCTACAGTGTGTATACTTATTCCTTTGGCCGCCAACTGTACATAGTTTTCAATTCCTACCTCGTTTTACTGGCATTTTAGAGCTGGAATAGTCTTTTCGAGAGTTTTGTTTTGGATCTAAAGGAACAGAGGAAGTTGGTGCACCAACCCAGTTTGGTATAGCATTCCAGTTAATGCCTTGGTGTCTGAAACCAATGAATAAAACAAGCTTTTAGTCAACAGAAATGTGATAATGTCCAGTACATATAACTACTGTATTACAATACAGTAGAACCTCTGAAATTCTTAATTCTTACTTTCAGAAAACTCTAAAATTTGAACGATTTCTGGCCCTAACCTTAATTTCCAAAATTCAGAAAATTATCTGATATTCAGGAATTTCTCCATGAAAGTAAATAAAATTAAATATTTCTTCTCTTAACTATTTTTTTTTTAGTGTTCAGTACTTCCACCAGTTACAGTACAGTGAATGTGAACTGTACTGTAAATGTACAATACACATCAATTCTGTTGGTTTATTCCAAAAATTGGAAAAATACCAAACTCAGAAAGGACCAGGTGTAACATATGACAGCCAACACCTATGAAGTTCAAATTCAGTCACAGCACAGGCTGATTCACTCAACCATGACTGCATAAACTGAAAGGTAATTAGTGATGGATAAGGTTGATAACAGACAACAATTTGTTAAACATCCTGACCTACTACTTACACATCTTTGGCATTCTTCAGCTGGCTCTTGTCAAAATGCTGACTGCATACTCGGTAATTGTTGTACAACTTCTGACATGGAATGTGTCTTAAGTAATCATTTTTCAATCGCTGCACCCATATGTTACACCTAAATGTGAAGGTAATACAAAGATTAGCTTAAGTCACCACATCTAGGTTCATGACAGTATATGTAAGCTGTAACTCAACATACAGGAACAATTGTGTCACACTGAAATACCATTGTATAATGAACTATTTTCTTTAAGTAGAAATGTGAGAGAAATGAATTTTAAATAGTGTATAGGATGAATAATGTTTACAAACCTTTCTGGCTCCTTTGGAAACCTGTAGAAGGCCAAATGTTTGTGGGTTCCTGCATATACTCGACAAGTAATAGCAGCACACTGTCTTCTGCTGCCACTGCTGGATGCCATTATTATCCCAAAATGACAAAGGACACCTGTGTAGTGAGTTTCCCATCTGTGAAGCTGTCTCTCCCTGCTGTAACTACACACAGTACTGTATACTTCAATGATTCACTTTTTCTCTGATATCACTTGATGCAATAAATTGGAGGAAATTAATAGATTATAAGCTTGAGTAAGGGAATACTGTATTCACTCTTTATTTCTCTGTTTAATATGAAACAACAGAAGAAGAGACGATACGTGTATATTGTCTACAATTTGTAAATATAATAAAATATGTACTGTATTCGACAAAATCAATTTCGAAATCCTCAAAGATTCCCTATTTGTTGTGTATGGTATTGAGCAACAAATCTGACAGGAAAGGAAGATAAGGAAGATGGGCCGAATCTAGAGCCATACAGTAATAATAAAATGAATTAAACACTGAATGGCTATTAACAACTTTTTTTTTGTTCCATGATTACATTATTGTGGGTGTTCACTATTCTCACATTTCACAATTACAGGTACCAAGCTTTGTTATGTGATGATAGTTTTTTATTTTCTTCTTCTAGTGTACTTGACGTTAAGGTAGGTTGGAAAAGTCTGTATCCTGATATGAGAGTCATTAGGTTCAGTGCCTTAGGTTCGCGTTCACTATTCTCACATTTCACAAATACGAAGCTAACTTAATCTAACTACAGTACAGTATTACAGAAAACTTTAAAAATATAATATTGTACAGTACTTTAGAAGAGGTGCACAGGTTGACAAACAACATCAGGAAATTGATAAATTGAAATAACTTCTTTTTCTGAAGATCATGCCCAAAATTGGTGGAGGAATCAATTTTTACCAATCCTAACATAACCCCCACCCGTGCCAAAAAAAAGAACCCAAGGAACCAAACTTGACTATTCACATACCAGGATACATGACTTATTCAACCTAACTTAATGTAATAAAGAAGAAAAGTGAAAAGAAAAGAAAACTGAAAATCTAATTTAATCCATCATGTAATAATTGTGAAAACAAAATAGGGAACACGGGCTGGCACCAACTAAACTCATGCCAAAAAAAGTAAATTTGCAGATTCAGCACCAACTACAGTTCAACTACAAATTTTAGTTTTTCACATAGTATTTGGTGTGATTCATTCTAATTTTACCTTCATTTTCGTCGGAAATGAGTCGGAAATAGACATATCACACACCCCCCCCCACTCTATACAGCCTGACCTAACCAACCAAAGAAACCTCCCAAACCTTACCTAACTTCTTAGCCATCCCCGCTATATTAAACAGAAGGTACTTATTGATATATTTGGTACCAATGAAAGTAACTTTGTAGAAGCATCATGGTGTAATTTTAATTTTTTTGTGGATGTGAAAGTACACTCGGACTGAACGGGTTGGCTGTAAACAGACAACACGAGGCAACTGCAGATATATGTTGATTTCTTATGTGAATTTACTATTTTGGTTAATATCCATTTGTGACAGAAAGTGGTATTAGTAAAAGTTGTTCCTATTGACAAGATATAACTAGTGGTAAACACAAAATTGCTCTAACCGAGTTGTGGCTGAAACTGTAATATTACCAAAAAGAGGGTAATACTGTAGCTACTTTGATAATTAAATTACATACCCGGGACATTAATTACTTAAATAAAGCATATTACCTTAGGTCCAATGGATGATAGGCATATTGGAAGTGGTGAAAGGAGTCGTGGAGTATTAGTTGGAGAAGGGTGACTTGGAGGGACAAGTTGAGCAAGACTGTGAAGGGGAATTAATGGAAAACACAGCTCCTGAAATATATATATATATATACACGGTACAAAAAAAAAATATATATACACGGTAAAAAATATATATATATATACAGTATTCACACTGTCCAAATCTATTTGATATCCCGGAAGAAGGATAATGCAATGTGCCCATTGGTCCTGACCCACGTTGGGAGCTGTGGTTTCCTTTATTACATATCTGATGGTGGTTGGCGTGTGTGTCGGCTGTCTGTTTACATGTTTAGCTTCAGTGTTGACTATGGCAGGTGGCGGGGCGGTAGATATAAACACCAGCCCACCGTTGTGCTGTTTGTGTGTGAGAGGCATGAGTAAGGAGGCAGCCTGTATTGCTATTATACTTGCTCTTGAAACAGAAACTTCAAAGAAAAAACGAAAAAGAAAATTATGGATGAAGGAATGGCATATAAAAAGACCCAAGTTCTCTCACGACGCCCTATTAAAGGAACTAGTGGTGTCATCTAAAGATTATAATAATTTATTGAGAATGGATGATGAAACTTTCGTCGAGCTGTTGGAGAAAGTGAAGCCATATATAAAAAAAGAGGACACTATCTTGAGAGATGCCATACCAGCAAGTCAAAGACTCTCTAGTACACTGCGGTTCCTAGCAACTGGTCAGTCTTTTGAGGCCTTAAAGGTTACTACTACCATTTCTGCTCAGAGTCTTGGTTCCATTATAATGGAAACATGTACTGCCATAACAACTGTGCTCAAAAACAACATCAAGGTAAGAATATGCATATACTGTACATTAACCTAACTTGATATTTATTTTTTTATTCTTAACAGTTCAAACCCAAGTGTTGGTAATAGCTTTATGAAGAAACACTATTTGAGTAAACGGTAAATGTGTAGAAGAGGGTGACCACCAGAAGGAATTTTCTGAATTGATTGACATTTTTTCTACACACTATTATTATGATATTAAACACAAAAATGGAAACGACAATGCATAGAACCTAATAGAACCTGACCTAACTTACTCATGGATTGGGTATTTTAGATCAGGTTCTCTGCATTATCGTGTTAATTTTTGTGTTAAACAGCTTATCTTAATATTGAGGTTGATATACATCAGCAATGGCGAGGAGGAATACGTAGAAGCATTCACCATCATTTAGGAAACGTCTCTTGTAAAGGGATTCAGCGAGATAAATTATAATGGAAAGTTGTCATTTCTTTTAATATGCTTAAAATCATCAAAACAATAAATATAGCAAAAATCAAGAAAGTCAACATATAACTTCTGGTGGTCACCCTCTTCTACACCTTTACCATATAAACAATTGTTTTCTCATATGGGTAACCCTCTCCTTTACAAAATGAAGACTAGAGGCAAACAAATATTAAACTTAAAATGTAATTCTTAGACTTATATTTCTTTACCTTTCGGGCACAGAGGAGAAAAAACTAACTTTGTATTAGTGGTTCCGTAGAATGATACGGTATATTTAGTACAATAATTGCATAGTAAATGAATTGCATAAAATTTATCATAACTAATCGTGTTATTGTTACTCATTAAAAGAAAATCTTTGGTTAATATGTAGGACTAACCAATGAGCTAGTTATTTTTATTACTGTTTATTTTTTTACAATATTTACATCAGCGACTTCTGATATGATAATCAATTATTGTGGAAATTGTTTGTTTCATAGATAATTAGGCGCCTAGGTGCGCACTAGTTATCTTGCTGGCGGTAATGAGGTTGCGATCTGCTGAGGCCTTTCGGGGCTTTTCCCGCGCCCCGGGCAGTTTATTTTTCAGCATGTACAGTGGGGTACGCTATAACGAACGGATCCTACTACGAATATTCCTATAACGAACGGTTTTACCTATAAAATTGAGAATGCTATAACGAACGAAACTCCTACAACGAACATTATTTAAAAATTTTTTTTTTCTAATTTATTGTTTTTTTATTACAAATATTAATGATATTCTTTATTTCAGGGGTTTAGATGCATTTTTATGCACTTTTTTACAATTTTTACAATTTTATATTATATTTTTCAGTGTTAAGTGGTTGTATTTGGGGGCCTGGAACGGATTAATCCTATAACGAACGAATGCTATAACGAACAAGGTTTTAGAACCAATTAGATTCGTTATAGCATACCCCACTGTAGTGTGAAGGTTGTTGCCGATCTTACATGGACGTAATTTGTGAATTTAGGGGTAAAGACAACAAGACCCTTCAATTGTTTAAAGGTCATGGCATTGTTCCTTTACATAGAGACTGTTTATTTTCTTACATTATTTTCATCAGTGAGTTCTGATATGATAATCATTTATTGTGGAACCCGCCAACGCAGTAAATCACTCTGCTGCCCGGGGTGCATAGTGTCGATGCGGCCGTATCATCTCACGTCCAGAAAATGCCTCAAATTTCGCCATACAGTATTATAGTAAGTTCTTTCTATTTAATATACTGGGGGGTCCGTCCCCTGGTAAGGAAATTATTTAAGGTTAGGTAGGCTTGTTTGGTTAGGTCTGTTTTTTATACCCACAAATCTTAAGTAACGTTTAATTTTAAAATATAATTTTTTTTACATATTTCCACAAACTACAACAGTGTCCACTACAATATACAGTAACAGTGAAAATCTGGTGTTTCCATAATTTTTTTCAATCAATTTCGCTCATTGGTTCGTCCTATATAATTACCGTCCATGTATTTCCTCCTGGTAACAGTGGAGCACTGGTGTTGAGGAACTATCAAAATGTGTGCCTGGAAGAGGAGTTGATGATCTGCTTGATTGTTCAATGTTTGGTTCATTTATTTTCACCGAGTGCCTGTGTAGAAAACCTGAGCAACCGTCAAAGAGAATGTCGTTTATTACCTTTCTAGCATAAATTTGCTACTGCTCACGTAATTTTCTGAATTCTGTAGCCCAACCTTTGCCAGAACATCTATTACATCATCACTTTGACTCAGATGACTGCATGTTAACTGTAAGAGTTCATTTCTTTTAGACTCGGCATTAATCTTCTGTCTTTTGCTGGGCAACTGGGTCACTATTTTCACGGAACTGCTACCTCCACTTGTACTTGCTTCCTGGAAAAGAGGAGTTAATAAGGATAGATATGTGTTTTTAATGATTTTAATGTCTATGCAAAGTATAGCACCTTACACTTCCTATTTTCATTGCTCACAGATGCCACGGACTGAAGAAGAATGGAGGAGCGTAGCCAAGTCATTTCAAAGGTCATGGAATTTCCCACACTGCATTGGGGCCATAGACGGAAAACATGTTGAGATAACCAAGCCCCCTGGATCTGGATCATACTACTATAACTATAAACACTCATTTAGTGTAGTTTTAATGGCAGTTGTTAATGCAGATTATGAATATATGATGGTAGATGTAGGAACAAATGGTAGGGTATCAGACAGAAGCATTTTCGCAAACACAAAATTCTGTAAACAGCTGAAGGAAAAAACATTGCATATCCCTGAGCCAAGCACTCTACCTGGCAGCAGTGATGTTGTGCCCTATGTTTTCGTAGGGGATGATGCATTTCCTTTGATGGTCAATTTAATGAAACCCTATACTCATCAAAATCTTTGCAAAGAACAGGACATCTACAATTACAGGGTATCACGAGCCCATTGTGTTGTGGAAAACGCCTTTGGAATATTGGCATCTAGGTTTCGGATTCTTCTGAGCACTATCAATCTCTGTCCAGCAAAAGTATCAACAATAGTCTTGGCATGTTGTCACCTGCATAATTATTTACGTCAGAGAAATGTTGCCCTATATTTGGAAGATGCAATTGACATAGAGGATGCAAATACTAGGCAGGTTAGAGAAGGAAGTTGGAGGTCTGACAGTAGACAGCCTATTCCGTTAGCACCAACAAATGTACAAAATGCACCTTCATCAGTAAAGGAAATAAGGGATACATATTGTAACTATTTCAACAATGCCGGGTCATTGCCCTGGTAGGAAACTAGAATTCAGGGACATAATTGAGTTGCAGGAGTAATATTAAATGTTCTAATATAGAGCCATATTGAAAAATGTATTGTACTAGAATAAGGTGTGCATTAATACAATTAGTACATAAACTTATGAAGTTTTCCATTGATTTTTCATTTCCATTTTCCTCTTCATTGCTGCCCGTGGTAGACACTGCTTCTTCCTGGATTTCTTGATCTCTCAGGAAATGTAGATCATTGTAAAACCCTATAGATGGTTGGTGGATGTCGTTGATGCCTGCGCCAGACTTTTCACTATGAAGAATTTTCTTTAATTCCCTCCTGTAACTGGTGCGGAAGGAATTAATTTTCTTAGTCACTGTGGCCTTGGTCGCAGTAGGAATGATTTCTTTCATCTTTTCCACTAATTTCCCATAACATTCTTGTTTGAGAGATCTATTCTTGTAATCTTCACTTTTTATTTACCACAATGGTGGAAACTGCTTATAAAGTTCAATAAACTCTCTCCAAAACTCATGGGAGTCCCGTGTGCTAGCCATGGCTTCTGCTACTTGACTGAGCATGTTTGATCATACATGCCACAACTATCCAACATGTTTGACAAACGTCATGTTAGACGAGAAAATATCAAACTTATTTAATCTTCTTCAAACATGTTGGTCATACCTTCAAACTTGCCCACACACTCTCAAATTGTATGATCAAACAGCATTTTAATAGATAAAATTACCAACTCTTACTTGTTTAACATGGACAGGGCTTTGAAGTAGAGGGAAAATGTGGTGTAAAATACTAAAAATAACTCCAAGCAAACCTTTGAAAACCTGACCTAACGTTTGCTAACTTGTAAAAATGTTGAGATTTAGAATAAAGGGGAGAGCCAGGTTCTTCCAATATGTTTTCTCTATAAGGACTTTTGGCAACTTTTAGCAATAATGGAGTATGTGACATTTGCTAATTTTTGTGTCTTGACAAACATTTGTTCTGTGTGGGTCTTGTAGTAATTTATTTTGTGTTCAATTATGACAGCTATCCCCTCGGTATTGTTGGGCTGACCTTTCATAATATGTATCCCCCTGTATAATGATATTGCTTTTGTCTTTATTTATTTCCAGTTCACATCTGCTGATGTCTGTGAGAGTTTTGATATTCTGAGCTGCATTTTCTACTGAATGTGATAGAAGGAGTCCTTCATCTGCATAAAATAATGCATAGATCTTAAATGTGTTACGGGTATTACTGAATCCTGCCTCTTTCTCCACAAGTTGTCTCATTACATTTATTATATAAGTTATTAATTTAAACAGTGTTGCCTTGCCTGATCCTACTTGTTATTTAGAACTTTTTTTCAGCTTGGCTACTGATTCTCCTATTGCTCTCCCTGCACATAGTGAAGGGAGTAGAAGGAAGAGAGGTCTTCTAAATTTCTTAGGTTACATTCATAAATCATTCTATGGAGTAGCCACAGAAGATGACTTACCCCAGTTACAGAAACAGATTAATGTACTTAAGCAACAGGCCAACCAGAATTCCGCATTTTTGTCCAGCTAATCTCATCTGTTAGCTAATCATGGTAGGAAGCTACTGTAGATGAAATCATTACAGTCTTCTTTCTGTTTCTGTCACACCCGATCAAATTATGTTGTATCTGCCATTCGTGGATAAACATGAGTTCTGGAAATTTGACATTACACCCTTCCCTAGTATAGAGAATGGTCAAGCTATAATTATAATTAACGTTTCCACATCTATCCCACTGTCTAGAGATAGATCTCTCATTGCGACTCCACCTCTGTCAGCATATGCTACACGCCAGAAGGAGTAAAGTCATCTTATTTGCTATCCTACACGAATTAATATAGCCGGGTCTTATTCAAACTGTGAGATGGACTTGGTCAATAACACGACAAATTTGGAGTCATGTACTTTTGTTAACAGACACTTTGACAGTGTACTTTTAGAAGAGATCCAGTGTACTGTGTATTTGTATTTCCCACAGGAGCTGCCCGTTGTAGTGGTCTGCCCTGATGAATCGCCTAGAAGTTTCACTGTGGGACGAGGACGTTATAAGTTACCACGGCAATGTTCACTGTCGTCAAGTCTGCACACCATATGGGGAACTACACGCCATGGCGCATCGTCCATCCTCAGGAAACCTATTGCCTCTCACCCATTGGACGTTCAGAAAATACACCGAAGTGAAGTGATCACAAACATTACAGTGTTGAAGGACAAATCAGTGGATACCGATAGTGATGATGATGCAGCCTTGTGGCACCCACTGACATTTATGACAGATGATACTCATCCCACAGTAACTTCAGCCTTTGTGGTGTTTGCTGTGATTACCACTATAATAATTATATTTGCTGTAGTCTTCTATGTAAGGAAGCAACTTTGTAAGCCAGCTTTAGGTAAATCTGTTATACAGGCGGCTGTCCCTAATATTATTCATTACGCAGTCTAACACAGTACATAGTGATAATCATTTGAGATCATCACCAAGGTAGTCATTTAACAATTCCCATGTGTTAGGACTCTTTCTTTTATTTTAGTCACCCGAGGACGGTTGACACGACGTGGCCGAGCAATCTGTAACCAGTATAATTTAGAGTAAGTAACTTACAACCATGGATGTATGATTATGAATATTCATTATTCAATGACCTGTAGAGGGTAAAGGTTGTTCATAGGTTATAGCCATATGAAACATCCCGCGGATGTTTTGTCTGGCCTGAGTGTTGCAGTATGATGCAACTCTCTCTCTCAGTAGTAGGTATTTCTGTCAACACTGAATTGATTGCTCATTTGTGGTAATTGGATGCTGTGCTTCACACTTGCCATGCATCAAGTATGATTAGATAGTTAGTTAAGTAATATATAGATAATGGCACCGTCAGTTAAGAGTGATTCAGGGGTCAAAGGGATCATTCACCAGCCGGTTGTTTATACACGTTATGTAAACACCGCTGACTATAGTTTTGCTTGATATTCCACGGAGTTGACTACTTCCTCCTTCAAGAACCTTCTAGAAGCTTGACTCATAGATTGCTCTGGTGGCAAGTGCAGGAATTACTCTCTACGGGCGTGTCATAGCCAAGCCCTTTTGTCAGTCTGGAACTGGACCCCTTTGAATAAAGATCTACACCTGGGCCACTTCAATACGGGCACACCTAACACAGAGCCTACCTCAGTTTCTAATGCGACCCACGTGAACGCTTCCAGTACTAGATCACGGGGCCAGTCTCATTAACTGTATAGTATTTAGACTTGTAAACATCACACTGTACATATACACCAGTTTTGACTCTGATTATCCCCCCTTTTGTGGAAGAAGTGACCGCTCTGTTGGACCATAATTATCGACGGTCTCAGGGATCCTACTGATATCAACGGGACTGTAAATAACTACAAGCAAATTAATACTTAGTGAGACTGTATACTGACAAGTCTCACTCCTCACAGACCTACAAGCCACAGGCCTACACATCCCATGGTAACCTCAATTACTTCCTTTAATGTGATTGGTGGACTAAAATGTATATCCACCAAATTACAGCCAATGAGAAGAGAACAGTCAGTCAGCACAACACTCCAACTTATGTTTTCCCGGTGGATATTATTCTCCATTCCACTTTTAAGGAAGCGATAATACTGGAAATGTTATGATGGGCGTTGTAGTCCCATGTACCAGCGTTCTAAATAGCACAAAAACAACTGCCACCAGGGACCCGACCAGGTGCGACAGGAAACCTCAGAGAAGCGGCTGGGGTCCCTGGGACCTTCCCAGGCACGGCAGGGGTTCCTGGGATCCTCCCAAGGTCGGTGGAGTCCCTACGATCCTCCCAGGGGCGGCTGGGGACCCCAGGGACCCTCACAGGGGCGGCAGAGATACCTGGGACCCACCCAGCTGCAGTGAGGTCCCTCTCAGGGGCACTTAGGGCCCCAAGAGCCATCCCAAATGCGACGGGGTCCACTGTGGCCCTCCCAGGGGCGACAGGCGCCGCTGTAACCCTCACAGTGGTAGCAGGGGCGGTGGGGGCCCCTGGAACCCTCCAATGGGTGGTGTGGTCCCCTGAAACCCACCCAGGGGCGGCTGGGACCTGCCAGACACAGCGGGAGCCCCTGGGATCTTCCCATGTGTGGCACTGGCTCCTGGGACACTCCCAGGTGTGGCGGGAACCCTCCCAGTTGTGGTGGGGGCCCCTGGGCCCCTCCCAGGGGTGGCGGGTGTCCCTGGGACACTCCCAGAGGCGGTTGGAGGTCCCCGGTAGTTTAGCAGGTGTGGTGGTGCCCCCAGGGAATCTCCGAGGGAAAGTGGTTTCCCCTTGACTCTCCCAGGAACGACAGGGGCCCAGTGGCAGCGGGGTCCCCATGGAACCTCTCAGGGGCGACTGGGGCCTGTGCGACCCTCTCAAGGATGGTGCAGGTCCTCGGGACACTCCAGGAGCACTACAGCATACTTGGTCGAGGTGTCATACATATTACATACGTCCATCAATTCCTTACTTAAATGCGATTGGTGGACTAAAATGTATACCCACCAAATTACAGCCAATAGGAGAAGAGAACAGTCAGTCAGCACAACACCCTAACTCAGGGGTGGGCAATTATTTTTGATGGAGGGGTCACTTCATGAATGGTGGCACACTTCGCGGGCCACACACTTAATGTAGATGCAAATGTATTATATTAACACAAAGTAAAGCCTTGTATTTGTAAATACAAATGCAGTGGCGAGCCACAGAAATAATTTGGCGGGCCAAATGTGGCCCGCGGGCCATACTTTGCCCACCCCTGCCCTAACTTATGTTTTCCTGCTGGATATAATTCTCAATTCCGGTCTTAAGGAAGCGATAATACAGGAAATGTTATGATGGACGTTGGAGTCGCATCTACCAGAGCTCTAATTAGCACAAAAACAATTGGCCCCAGGGACCCCCCCAGCTGTGGCAGGGACACTCCCAGGTGTGGCAAGGGGCCCCTGGGACACACCTACAAGCAGCAGGGGTCCCTGGGATTCTTATAGAGGTGACAGGGGTTCCTGAGACCTTCCCAGGTGCGGCGGGGGCTCCTGGGACTATCCCCAGGTAGGTGGGGCCCCTCCCAGGGGCTACTGGGGCCCCAGGGACCCTTGCAGGGG